CCTGCCGCTCGCGCGCTCTCCGGTCTCTCGGGTGCGCCCCGTTGGGTAACAGCGAAAAAGCGCGCCGATCGGAGTCGCGCCCTCCCCCTTCCACCGCTTCGCCTCCGCACTTCTCTTCCTTTAAATCCCGGCTGCAAAGTCACTTTTCCTTTCGGTCCGATTTCATTCAGGCTGGGGGCCGGGGCGGGGCGCGGCCCCCGGCGCCTCCCCCGCCCCCGGGGGGCTCTTTTCCTCCTCACGAAGCCAAAAGCCGAGCCGAGTCCAGCAGCGCAATAACGGGGAGGGGTGTGGGTTTGCATGCGCGTGGGGTGGGTGCGTGCGTGTGGGAGGGGGTCAACAAGCAAAAGCGAAATCGAGGTTCCTGGATGCTGATGCCAAACTCTCCCGAACTGCTAAGGAGCCAGAAGGGAGAAACTAAGAGGTCCGACAGCCAGCCGCCCACCTCCAACCTCCCCCACCCCCTTGCGTGCTCGTCCAGAGCAGAAATCGGTGATAGGGGAGGGAGGCTCTGAAGAAGATCGTGGTTGGTCCCCCCCCCCCCCCTTTTCTCAACTTAAGTTAAACAACGGCTTGGGGGAGGTGTGTTGGAGAACAATCGACCCAGAAGGAACGGTCGCCGAACGCTCGAGTTCTTTCTTCCAAATTCTTCAAGGCTCGAATTCCTGCGGTGCGATCCAGTGGAGAACTCCAATGGGCAGGTCTAATGACCTCAGACTAAGCAAGCGCCGGTTCTCTTCCAGCTTGAGGATAGGTCGGGCTGGTCCAGGGCACGGGGGTGGCCGAGGGTAGAGAGCGAGTCCCGATTCCTCCCTTGCCTTAAGGCGATCGGTCGAATGTGGCGGCGACAAAACCTTGAGGAAGGTGGACCGTCGGCTGCCCCATTTAAAAAGATAAAAGCGGAGAGCAAGCGCTTTACCCGCCCACACGGAGAGAGAACTTGCAAGGGGCCATCCGGAGATGCCTTCTCGCCTCGCCAGGCAGAGGGCGAAGCAACGCCGCGCGGGGCGAAAGAGTGATGGTCCACCGCCTCCGCGCACCCCACTCCCACCACCAGCCCGCTCTTCTCACTTTGGGAAAGTCCCTTGCTTGGGTCGAGGCGTAGAAACAGCAGCCGCCGCCGCCGCCTCCTTCCTCTCCCACCTTTCTCTGCCGGAAGCCGGTTGCCCCAGCCGAGGCGCTTCCCCGAAAGAAGAGGGAGAAAGAAAGGAGGGGGAGGGAAGGGGCAGATGGGTCGCTGGGCTTGCTACCTCCTCCTCCTGCTCGCCGGGAGATGAGCAGCGCCTCCGTGCAAACTCGGCTTTTCTCCCCCTCTCTTTTGTCCTCCGGCAGAGATGGATCACATGCGTCTCCCCCTCCCACAGCCTCTCCTACCAAGAGAGAAAGAGGCAGGAGCTCCCGCTGTGCCTCAATCCGCGGCGGGCAAGGGAAAGGGGGGGATCGCCCGAAGGCACCGCTCGGCCTCCCCAAAACAAACACACGCGGCTGAGAAAAGCCTTCCCCCGGCGCTGAGAAAGGAGCCGCGTGCAGCTGGGCTGGAAAGCGCGCAGGAGGGAGGAGGGCACGAAGGAAAGCGAGTCATACTTAAAGCGGATTTGTGCGGAATCGGGAGGAGAAAAGTATTCAGAGCGCCAGGGTCCAAGGAAACCCCGGTCCGACGAAAGTCTGGCTTACGTGCGTCGTGCCTCTTAGGTCGCACCGCCATCTAAAGCATGAGGAAAAAAAACAGAACGAGGCTGAATTCAGGTCGACTCTTTCCCCAGCAACGTCGCTCCCGCTCGGCCCTCGTGCGAAATTCTCAGCCTGTTAGCAGCTCGAGAATGGAAGATACAGTAGGAGAAGGGAGCAACGACGAGAGGAGCCAATAAAGCACGGGTGGGTGAACCTTCTTCCCGTGCGCGGATTCAGGCACTGCAGACCGCGCACGTTGCCGGTAAAAGTCTGAATTGTTCCTCTAAAGACGGTGCTTCTGCTTGCACGCCCCCTTTCAAACCTTTCCAGTGTGAGCTTTTCAGAAGGACTCATGCTTGTCACTGGGTTGGGCTGCTGGTAAGTAATTAGTTCAGATGCCCCAGCGACCAGTTTAGCTAGAGGAAGAGAAGAGGAGGAAAGAGATCCTTTATCCCCTTGCAAAGTGTTTTGGGGTCCCATAGGGTTTTTTGAAATAATGCACATCCACCCAGACATAGCTTGTAGATAAGCAATGAGTTCCAGGCATCAGAGCTCAATCTCCAGCATTTTAATATCTCACAAGAAATGTGCCATACTTAAGGAATAAAGAAATATTGCTGGTTTGCCCTTTAAAAAGCTGTGTTATAACTTCTGATGATTTCAGTAGATTCTTTTTCTCTTGCAGATGTTCAATCTAAAACTCCTTATTTTAGACACAGATTACTTTTTTCGCTCATATTTTTACTGGGTGAATGACCACATGTGATTATTCATTTGCAACCCACCCATCTTTTTTTTAAAAAAAATAATTTTGATGTGGGCAGTCCAAGTGAATTTATTCCAGCTCAATATTCATTTGTTTATAACTTGGAAGTGAGAGACATTTTATGAGCATACTCATTTTGTTTTAATTCTTAATTTGTGCTAATGTCAGCTCTTGAGTTAATTTTTTTATAAAAGGGAAATGTTGCTTAAATGGAAGAATGTCATAACACTACAAATACTTATTTTAAAAATAAAGAGGGGAAACATTCTTTATCACCAGTATTTTAGCAATAAAATACTGCTAAAATACTTCTACACATCTAGTCCAAAATAAATGTTAAACATGTGTATACACTTAATTGGTAATAATGGGCAATTACAAATTACAGTACAGTAATGCATGTTACAGTATAGTTTGAATTATTTTTTTTAAAATACTGTTAAGATCACTAAGTTAAATACATGAAGGCGATCATGTGATCTGCCATTTTTCATGCATTTTCAGCAGTGAGTGGTACCCCAAAAATGGAAATGCTTAAAACTCCATGTCTTCAGTTGGAAGCAGACTTAAGCTTTAGTAGCTTCATGCTTATGATACTACCTGGGGCTTTAAATGATGACCCTCCCAATCTTGAGGTAGTTTCACCAGTGCTGGAAAATGTGACAATATATGTTCTATCATTTATAAATGGAGGGAGAGCATCACTTTACACTCCTGTGTACTGAATCTTAGCCTCTTTTGTGGACATCCAGTTTCTTTTGCATCTCTATAACATCTAAACTATTTGGGAAATGCTTCCATTAATGCCACCCCTTTTATCCTCCCATCGCAAGAGTTGAGATTATTCTTCATTGCATCCTGTAAACGAAACCTTAATAAGTTTGTTATAGATCAACATCTAGATTTCCAAGGCTTTGGAGCACGTTGCTAATTATAGTTTATTTTATTTATTTATTTAAAGGATTTATATGGCTGCCCATCTTACAGATGTGACTCTGGGTAGCTTACACTATTAAAAATAATAAACACATCTATAAAAAATATAAAACCCATAGCAGCCAGAAGATAAAGTTACAAAGCTACAATCCAACACTCAACATAGCCAAGCAACAGCCCCGTCCCACACCCCATCCCCGGGCTCAAGCACAGAGCCATGTCTTCAGGGCCTTATGGAAGGCTGACAGGGATGGTGCCAATTTGATCTTGTGAGTCCACTGGAAATATATGACCATATGGTAATTGGTTGTGCATTGCAAGTGGATCCCATAGACTGCTTTACAGTAATTGTTAAGGAAAATGTCTACATCTGTATTGCACATCTGTATTTCCTGGCAGTGATAAACCTTCAGATGCCCAAGAGGCCAGTGTCATAAAACAGTGCTCAGGTCTTACACATTGCAACTACCACGTGACATCTTTGTTATACAACGCTGAATGTACTTCTTGAAATATGGTTTACAGTTGATACCAATACTATAGCACGTCATTTTACTCACGCTCCTTTAAAAATATGATTCTTGGTCATTAAGAAGATTGCTCGCCTTTTAAATTGTAATTATATATGCAGGATCATAGTGCTTCAAATATAATTGCTAAATACAAGTATACATTTACCCAGAAGATAAGCAGCAAATCAGATTTTAATCTAAGTTAGGTTCTTAACATTGTATCCTTCTAATGATTTTTTTTTTTTTTTTTACTCTTTCAGACTATAGCATGCTGGGACATAGAAACGAATCTCTTTTGTCTCAGCCTCTGTTGTGCTATAATGGATTTCTCTGCATCCTCTGGGGCAGAAGATGAAATTTGGTGCATGGTGTTGGATGTAACCCCGATGCTATGGACATTGATGCACAGACCAAAACAGCATTAATTTCATACAAATGTAGATCTGCTTGTTAATGTTTGGAGCACCTTGCAATAACAGCTAGAATAACAAATGAATATCATGGAACTATAAAAGTCCTAGACAGATGTTCTGTATCATCAAGAACCCATAGTTCAGTTCTACCCCTTAGATGCCAATAGGTGTGCTGGTCATACATGTTTCAGCTATGTGATCAGCCCCAGTTTGAATAGACCCAGGCAAAACAGATGTTTGCATGTACAGCTCATTGGGATAGGAACTCTGGACAGAATTCTTAGCAGCATCAAAAGAGTCTTACTATTATTTATCACACTAAGGCTGATCATGCAGAGACTTTTAAGACCTGGGAGGTCCAGGGCAAAATGTTCATCTAGATTTTCCCCTACTTTCTTTTCAATGCATCCTATAGCAGTGTCAATTTTTGTTGTTCTTTTGTCCTTCAGAATCAATAGTCCAGTAAATGAGAGTGTCTGA